TAGCATTAGCGTTAGGTTTAGCGTTAGGTTTAGCATTAGGGTTAGGTTTTGGGTTAGGTTTAGGGTACTGAGGGCTTGGGAATGCACGATTTTGCCCTCCGCGATTATGTCATCGCGGTAGGGTCGTGTTTTTCCCTAGCGCTTAGAACGGCGCAAATTAGTCTTCGCGCTATGTCTCCGCGCAGAAGGGCTTCGCGAATTTGTGGTGGAACCGTTTTTCCCTCCCCCTCCCAGCCCTGCTGAAGCCTGCAGGGTGTTCCTGGGGACTGGGGAGAACAAGAACTTTTTTTTCTTACTGGGTAGTTTGCAGGTGCTCCCTTAGCTCTGGTGAGGCTGGAGCCCCGCCCCCCCCCGGTCAAAATGTTTTTCCACCGTTTTGGTGGGCATGGCTTGGTGAGGGGGGGGTCATGTGACTGAGTGTGCGTGAGTGATATTAAATTGGCCACGCCCACTCAGTCACATGCCCCCATCTAGCCATGCCCACCAAACCAGTAGTAAAAATTTTTGAAACCCACCCCTATTCTATAGACAAGAAGGAAATTGTGTATGCCACTGTCTCCAATATATGCAACCTTGCATGCATATATCTGGCTCAAATCAGTTGGTGGTGACCTTGAAGGCCCAGATAAACCTCCTCGTGACCTCAGTGAGTCTCAGCAAGAGCGCTAACGACCAGATGACTGGAAGGAATACAAATCTTTCCATCCTCCACCATTCATTCAGAACTGATGAAGCTTCCTGTATGAGAAGTGAAAGGTCTTCAAGGAAAAACAATGAAAGTCCAGTTGCCTTTTTGGGGGGGGACACCTTTGGGACAATCATGGGAGACTGAGAATCTCCATTGATTTTTTTGAAGAAATCTGGACAGATCTGACCCGCCTGATGACAGAAAATCAACCACATTTAGCTGGACCACAAGCAGTGGTGGGATTCAGCCGGTTCACACCTATTCGGGAGAACCTGTTGTTAACTTTCTAAGCAGTTAGGAGAACTGTTTTTTTCCACTTTACAGGGCTAATCCTGTAAGGAAAGCAGGAAGGAAACATTCTGGTGTTGTTTCTAGCTTAATTTTTATTGCCCTGCTTACAGAAACTGCCTCTTCGGTTAACCCTTATTACATTGCAACAGCGAAACGCCCATCGCCCTGAGTGACATTGAGTTGGCCACACCCACCCAGTCACAAAACCACCAAGCCATGCCTACCCAGCTGGTCATTAGGGCAGAGAACCGGTTGTTAAGATATTTGAATCCCACCACTGACCACAAGGAACTGTTTTCAGCAATAGTAAACATGGCAGATTTGTTTTTTTTAAAAAACAGAACAAGAATTCTACTCTGCTCCAGAGTTTGGGATGAATCATCCA